GCCGCGCTGTGCGGGGATAACGTCCGGTGATCAGAAAGATGCTGTGTAAAAGACGGCCTCAGATCGGAAGACGCTGCTTTACCCATGCCCTTTCTAGCAACCGTTAGTCGACATCCCAAAGTCAACTCACCAACTCCACGGGGGACGGATGGGTCAGCGAGCACCTTCGTGGTAGGGATATGACTAGTTCTAGACTGGTGAGAGTAGTGTCTTCCGAACAGCAACAACCATGTGTGTCTTCCGCCGTAGCCGCTTGCCAAACACCAGCAATAGGCATCAAGCACCAGCTACGCATCAAGACACCAGCAGGATCCGGAAAACTCAAAAGCAACACCATGCAAAGCAAGGGGCACAACTAGGACATATAGCATATAGCAGCAAAGCAAGGCCACCATAACAATGGCCAGGGTTCGGGTTTTGCAGAAGCCGCGGCATCGCATGGCGATGCAGCAGCCTCAGAAAAAAAACGGCTGCTACTAGATCAGCATGCGATCCTGGATGCCATAAGGACCGAAGTTTCCATTGAGTCGCTCTCCGGCAACTCGGTGCGGGTCAAGGCGACCACGTGAGCGGCGGCCTCAGAAAAAAAGGAGCGAGCATTCCACAGTCCTGCACAGGTCGCGTACAACGCGCACATCTTTGACCTCGCTACCAAGGTGCCCAAGCTACTCGGCCGGAGCCTTGGCGAGCCCGCGTCATGTTTTTGTATTCCGAGGGGGCGACCGTCTGAGCAGGTCTGGATCCAANNTGGACAAGTCCAGCAGCCAGAAGGTCGACTGCTACGAGCTTTGCAGGTCGGCCCTCCGAGTCAAGACGTCCGAAGCCACGAGCGTAATTTAAGCGAAGACGTCCCGTCAGGGCACATCGAGTCCTGCAAGCCGTAGCGACGCCGATGCCGCCGACCGCCAGCGACGACGAAGAAGAAGCTTCACTGTCCCGGGCCCAGCTTTCATGCATCTTTCTGTCTGTGCCCGCTCTCATGCTAACCAGGTCGTCCGGTTTTTACAGCAGCTGCGAGGAGGACGACTGAGAGTTGCCTAAAACCCGCAGCATTGCGTGCGCGGGAGCAAAACACGTAAAGAGCCCAGGGTTACCAGAAGAACTCCACAGCCCACAAGGCTGATATATTTGGGTAAACCGTATAGACCATCCTCTAGAATTATGTAAAGTCCCTGGGTGGGGAACAGCTCCAGTGCCTTTCGAGGAAAGGTCGAATTGTCAGAGCAATTCGCAAGACTGGAGTCAAGCCCCTTAAGCTCTGAGCGTCAGGGAGGAGCAACTCGCTCAAAGCATGATGTTCGACACACAGAAGGCGACCAACAGCAGCGCAAAACAGGAGAGTCATGCGGAGAACGAA